GAAAGAGTAGAAAACAACTATTTCATTTGGAAGACCAAATTTGGCAAGGCCTTCAGTGTCAGCACTGGAGTTTGGGTGGTGTCTGGGGAACAATCTGGCATCAAATGGGAAGTTTCAGGGCTAGATCACATTAGTGTAGATAGGAGGTCAAAGGAGCCTGGAGACAGGGACCTCTTCTAGAAGCCAATGTAATAGGCCAGCTAGAAGTGGTGAGGGTCCACATTAAGGCAGTTGTAGCAAGATAATAAATAGGACCTAAAGATAAGTAAAACAATTCCTGATCGCGAGGAACTTACCTAGCGAGGAGTGAAGTCCCATACTGAAATCACTGAACTATGAAAGCCTGTAAGGGAAAAAGCCCAAGAGACACACCTCAAAGGAGGATGGCTTTCCTTGAATGGTCCTACTTAATCAGCATCCTTTCTTTCCTCCTATTAATGAAGCAATAACCTCATTCAGTCTGTCTTTGAGTTTCATGACTTGCCCTTTCAATCTCAGCAAAGTTTGATTTGATTTTTTTTTTTCTGTTTTTCTTTTGAAATAGGATCACTCTTACAGATTGTTTCAAGAACATGTAAAAGTGAAGCATGTAGGGCTGGCCAAGTGACTTAGGAGTTAAGGTCTTGAACTTATATGCCAGATCACACTTCAAATCCCAGTTCCTGTGGTTTGAAAAGGATGCTGGGTGTGAGTGTATGTGTGCATGCCCCAAATAAAATGGAGAAATGGAGGAGAAGAGATTATGATGTGATCATGGACCATTTGTGGGTGCTTTTCCCCTGTCTCTCCCTTTATGTCTCGCTAGCGCATGCTCTTTCACAAACAAATAAATAAAAGTTAAAAAGAAGCACAGAGAGTCTAAATTTCAAGACGTAAAGATCTAGCACAAACTATAAAGAGTCGAAACTTTTTAAAAGTAATGCAAGTATGAAGCTGATACAGAAATTAAAAAGGAAAACAAATAGTTATCGTAAGTGCCCTTTTCTTTACTAGATAAATATGTGAACATAACTTGCTCTACAGATTAAGTTAATGCACACACAGATGGCAGAGGGGAAACTGAAAAGGCAACAGAATAAATATCATTGCAGATAATGATTATATATACACAAGAGGCAAATGGCCAATTGGTGCTATTATAACATATGGTAGAATACTTATATCTTCCCCCCCTTTTAATTCAGTATTTAACTTTTATAATAGTCACTATATAGCTTAAGAACTCTTAAATAACTAATTACTGGAGAATTTTATTAATGCAAGCTCTGTTGGATTCAACTGCTAGTTACTTTACTTTCAATGTCCCTTATCCTTCTCATAGCGCTATTAAATTGAAGCCATTGTGAATAATTTCCGGCTGAAAAGGAGGTGATAAGACAAGTAGTAACAAAGTCAGACAGGTCCAGGTTCTAATATCTGATCTGCTACTTATTAGCCACATGACTCTGGACAAGTTATTTATCCTTCATGAGCCTTGGTTTCCTTATCTGTAAGGTGGGTTTAATAATAGTACTTGCTTCTTGGGGACACTGTGAGGATGAATAAAATGTATGCAATACGCTTTATATGTAGACCTTCTCCATAAATGAGTTTCCTTTCCCTTCAAGACCTAAACAAGACAATGACCTTGGTACTTCAGTTTCCCATTGAGCACAATTACTGCAAGCAATGAATTAATGTGGGGATGAGGGGAAAGCTCTGTGACATCCAGTAAAATGAGCACTAGGTTAGTTTCTCTCCTCTCCCTTCTCACTGGTGAATATTGTAACTGCCAAAAAATTTGCTGACTGTCATTCTAAACATGTAGTTTCTTTCTTTTTCCAAAAACTAAGACTAAATCAATCAAATAAATGTATAAGATTTTATACATATTACTTACTACTTCTGCAGAGAATGAGAAAACAAGAGATAATCATTTAAGATTTGAGTTTGAATAAGACTACCTGGCATTTGCAGACAGTTGTGAGGACAAAGAAAATTTCCCTGTGTCTAATAAACCAAAGAGATGGTTTTGGCTGTACAAATTGCTTATACTTAACACCTGCTTAATAGGTTGGCAATAAATATCAGATATGCAATTCAATGACAGACTTTTAAAAAATGTGTGATTTCATGCATGCACCAGGGAATACCTCCCTTTTTATGAAGTCCTCTGTAGGTTCTAAAGCACTTTCATTTGCATGATCTCACTGAATCCCTCTTATGCTCCTTGAAGCCTCTCTAACTGATGCAGAAACTGGGAGGTAAGAGGTTAAACAACTTGCCCAACTGATGAATCACGTCTTCCAAAGCCAAGTCTGACAGTCATCTTGATGCCACAGAGTTACTTATACATGATATTTAATACCAAAGTTAGAAAATAAAAACTGGGCCAGCCGGTGGCATGGTGGTTAAGGAGGCTGGATCCCACAACTTGGTTCCAGTCCTGGATTCTGTGGCTTGAAAAACATGCTGGCTAGGACCAGCAGTTAGTGTAATGGCTATGTCGCTGGACTCCCATGTAGTCAACCGCAGTTCTAGTCTCAGACTTGGTGGCTTAAACTCACGCCAGGCGCTTGTGCGTGTGTGCCCAAGATCCTGAGAGGAGAATGGAGAAGGGATTGCAGCATGGCCATCCCCTCTGGAGGGTGATTTCTTGCTTTCTGTCTCTCTCTCTCTCTCTGTCTTTCTGGCGAGCGCATGCACCCTATAGCAAAAAAAGAAAACACAAAACAAAACAAAACAAAAACAAACACCTCTCTCCAAAAAAGAAAAAAAAGAAAAAAAAAAAAAAAAAAACCACTGGCTATATGTGTGTGAGGGCCCAAAATCTTGAAAGGAAAATGTTGGAGAAAGGATTGTGGCATGGCCATCCCCCCTGGGGGGTACTTTTACACTTTCCCTAGTACTCTCTTCCTCTGTCTCAGGTGGATGCACACACCCTAGAGGAAAAAAAAAAAAAAGTGTGATATGGGCTGAATTGTGTCTCTCCAATATTCCACATTCTTCAACCCTAATCCCTGATAATTCAGAATGTGACTGTATTTAAAGATAGGGTCTTTAAGATGATTAAGCTAAAATGAGGCTAAAGAGGTATAACCTAATTCAATCTGACAGGTTTCCTTATAAGAAGAAGAAATTTGGACCCACAGAAAGACACCACAGTTGTGTGTGCACAGAGAAGACCACATGAGAAAACATCATAAAGGCAGACATCTCCAGATCAAGGAGAGGGACCTCGGGAGAAACTAATCTGTCTAATACCTTGTCCTAACCTCCCAGACTCCAGGACTATGAGGGAAAAAATTAAACCACCCAGTTTGTGAAATTTTATTGGAGTATCCCTAGCAAACTAATGGTACAAGATGAAAGAGAGGTTACACACAAACTAACCACTCAGTGAACAACGAACTTAACCACATCTGTTCCAAGTTAAAATCGACCTTTCTCTCTCTCGCTCACTCCTCTCTCTTTTCCATGTTAATGTTCACCTGCTCACCTTGGAATATGTTTCAGGCAGGATCCAGTCAGGAAAAGAAAACTACAGAGTAGTTTGAATAAAAAAAAAAACCACTTTAATATAGAGAATTATTAACTAAGATATAATTGGAATAGTGGGGGATTGGCTACTACCCGTAAGCAGTAGATAAATAGATAAACTAGAACTCTAAGAAATACAGAAATAGAAGACATAAGGAGTAGTTAGTTACCGCCCCAAAGGTTTACATAGAGAATTCAAGGAAAAGTCCTCACTCCACATACCCCATTCTTAAGGCTGAGGTCCAGATCTTGCTGTAGAGGGCATGACCAAGTCTCACTAAGTGGCAAGGAAGTTCCTGCAGTCTTGTGCCTGAAGAATTTTCTGGGTATCTGCTTTTTAGGATGCCAAAGGAAGCTATCCACAGAGTGGCATCTTTGTAACACAAAACACCACCTGTAAGATTACAAGATTGCACTGGGGAGCTATTGGGAAAAACTGTCAGCCATTGTTATTACTGATTATGCAGAGAGCAGGTGCTGGACTCTGGGAAGCCACTGATGCTGCAGAAACCAGATGCTAGAAAAGTCCCATCAGGTGTAGGAGACCAGTGAGCTACCAGAACCAGAAAGAAAAACCCTTCTTCCTGCAATGTCTCTCCAATGCCTTCTACTAATAAAGCTTGCTATTATGTCAACTGGTGAATGGAAAATATTAAAAAGACTCTCTACACTTTTCGAGAGCAGGCAATGGAGGTGCCTTTGGAGTTGAGAGGCAATACATTGGTAAATGGCGAAGGATGACACACAGTTGCACTTAATCTGAGATTCTTGTGGTATTAAGGTGATTAAAGTACCTGTATCAATGCTCTGAATCCAGCTGAATGCAGTGCATTGCTATTTGGGGTAGCTTCTCCAAAGAGAGGCATAGAAGTTTTAAAAGAATGAAGGAAGGAAAAATATGATGGATGGCATTCTGAAGAAGTAAGCTACCATAGCTGAAAGGGCTGTGTTCTTGACTAGAGTATTTTGTCTTAAACAATGACTATGTGCTCACAAGGTTGCACAATCTATAACGTGACCCAACTGTAGTGTAGTGTTCCTGGATTTTAATCTCCTGAACTTCCTTGTTCATAAAGTCATGTTTGTCTGAATTACAATATTTACAAGTTAAATATTTAAAACCTTGGTCATCTTGGAATCAACAAGTACTTAGTGCCAATATGTTTCTTTTTAAATTAACTCTAAATTAGTTCAATAATTAACTTTAAATAATAATTACTAAAATTAAAGATTTAAGTATTGAGAGGAAGAGCTATATCAAAGATTGCTCCATATGTAGGGCCTTAGATAACAAAGTTAGCATCTCTGTGCCTTTTTTTTTAATGCTTTTTTATTATTTTAGAAGTTTCTAGTGCTGCAAACAAGTACACTAAATCTCTGAGAAACTTGTTAAACATTTGTAGTCAATGAGTTGGAGCTGTGAAATATTAGAGCTGGACAAGACCATGGGGATCATTCAGGTAGTCCCACTTTTCCTTTTGCAGATGGAGAAACTGAGTTCCAGGAATCTTGCCCCAAATTTCATGTTTCCTGAATAACTCTATTAGAACTAGACCCAAAGTCTTATAATTTTTTTTTTTCTAAATTTTCTTCTTGGCTTCTTTGAAAAGAAGCAATCATGCTGAAGTCTACATTTTCTGCAATACAGATGAGAATGTAGGGGAGGAAGGAAAGGAGGCAGAATCAATTAAAGCTGGCCTCTTGCTGAACTCCACCAGGTCCCCAGCCGGACCCCCACCTCAGAAGAGGTAAGTTAGAGCTAAACCTTCCTTTTCTCATTTCTCTCCAGTGGCCAGTGTCTGCAGGGATCATATGCAAAACACTTAGGTGTCCAAATTCTAAAAGCAAACATCCAAAGGAATGATTTTGTTTAAGAATGACATGTGAGGCAAGAAACCCAATTGTACTCTTCCCTCGTTTTGCTTTCTTGTTTTCCTTTGCTTCTTTTCCTGTTTGGTTGTTTTAGATATTAAGAGAGTTGGACTATTTGGGTAAGATAGTCACTCACACCTGGGTAAAGAGTGGACTAATTGTGCAAGTTACAAACTAGCAATATCAATAGACTCTTCTCAACTCTTCAATTTACCCAATAATTTGAATATAATCAGGATGCTCATTGGCTAATTACATGGTCAATTCATTGAAAGTATCTTTACAGAAATCATGAATTTTGAAGTAGATCTCTAAAAAGCAAATAACATATACAATTTATAAATACAGATGTACAGCACATTATTTAACAAAATAATGTTAATGTTAGCCTTAACCTTCTAAGGAAAAAAGATCACATCAATTCCTAGTTTCGTAGATCGGGAGGGAAAGGGAGGCTGTAATTGTTGAGATGATTTTTCAGTCTGTCTCTTCACTATGAGGAGATAAAGACACAGCCTGGGTCATCTGACTTTTGTGTGGTTGCAGTTCGTATTCCTTCTTTTCTAACCACCCCATTTCTCCTCCTTTGGATTTAAGATAATACCAGCTGAGTATTCTTTAGTCAAAACGCTTAAGAACAGAAGTATTTTGGTTTATAATTTTTTTCAGATTTTAAAATGTTTGCATATGTATTATGAGATATCTTGGTAATAGGACCAAGTCTAAACTAGAAATTCAACTACATTTAATTTGCAGCCTATACACCTAGTCTGAAGGTAATTTCATACATTTCAAGTAATTTTGTGCATCAAACAACATTTATGTACATTGAACCTATGGGAAGCAAAGCTGTCATGATCCCAGCTATCCTTCTGGTCGGTCTGTGGTTGTTTGGCCTCATCATAATTCCTGACTCGGCCTCTACGAGCTACTGATAACAATTTTCCTCAACTTCTTCACATGAAGGTTGGGTGTGGAATTTTCTACTCGTGGTGTCATGTTGGCACTGAAAGAGTTACAGATTTTGGACTTTGAGATTAGGGGTGCTCCACCTGTTAACAGCACAGATAATAGTATAGATCCACGTCTGCACAAAAGGAATCTTTCTCCACCCGATGAGGCTGAAGTTCCCTGTGCTGCTGAAATAAATGTAAGTCTCACCATATCGGGCTGTCAAAATATGCCGGGTGCTGACAGACCAGAATCTTCCTCTCATCCTGAGAAACTGGGCATAGGACCCAACAACAAAATGGACCCAAGAACCAGCTCCATCCAACAGCTGTGCCAGAAGCACCAAGTAAATCGAAAAACCACAGATCCAATTAACTAATCCCTCTGCTAGAAGTGCCAAGAAGAAATAATCTTGTCATTGCTCCCTTTGCCATGAGCCCTGATCCAAAGTTCAATATGCTTTTAATTTTCTTCGAGCCTTCAAAAAAAAAAATTATTTGAAGGCCACTCCTTGTCTCCCTGTTTTCCACATTCTTGACAGAGGTATGTTTTTCATATTCTCCACAACAACACTCTACTGATGGGATAGTATTTGTTTTTAATGTCTGTACGGTATTTTTGTTGGTCTCATGTATGTTTCATTATTCACTGACCACATAGAGCCAGATTCTTTATAGACAGCAATGTGGGTAATAATGTTCCAGGATTTTTTTTTTCTGTTGAAACTATGAAAGATTCATTTTTCCATTCTCTTTCAGTCACCTGAGAGCCTCAGCAGCAGAGATATTAAATTCTATCTTGCAAAAAAAACCCCAAAAACCTCCAATACTAAGTAGTGACACTCCCTTCTGAAATACGAGTGTGTGCTCCCCAGAGAGACAGAGAGAAAGAGACAAAGAGAGAAAGTGAGAAATCACTCCCTGGGGGAGAGGGGCAGGGAATGCCATGCTGCAATCCCTTCTCTGTTCTCCTCTTAAGATTTTGGGTGCACACACACATGTGCTAGTGTGAGTTTTAAGCCACTGGATCTGAGAATCGAACTGTAATCTGTCATGTGGGAGTTCAATGTGATAACCACTACACCGCCTGCTGGTCCCAAGAACACAGTTTTTGAGCCATGTTACTAGGGAGCAAAGCTTGTTGTGAAGCATAGTCTTATTTCACATTTCAGAAGGGAGTGTCACTACTTAGTTTTGGTGGGTTTTTTTTCCAAGCAAATGGGATTGACAAAGTGTTTTCCTATTGATCAATTTTTTAAAAATAATTTCATTTATTCATTCATGTATTTTAATTTGACCAGAGAGAGATACAGAGAGAGAGAGAGGGAAAGTGAGAAAGGAAGGCACCAGGGCCAGGACATGAACCTTGGTTGGCCATGTAGGAGTGTCCAGCACCTTAACCATCAGGCCACCTGATGGCCCCCTCATTGATCATTTTCACTTTCCTCTGTTTTCTTTTCACTTTCCTGCCATCTGAAAATTGGATCATAGGCTGATTTACCACAAGGCCAAAGGGCACAACTTGCATTACGTCTAAGATGGTTTCATGAGACTTTTATCAACAACAACCAAGGTCAGAAGAAAGGTTCTTATTACTAAATTACCTTGAGAGTGATGAAGACTTTTATTGACTAAAATAGTTAAGTGTAAAAATTGCACCATAATGTTACTACAAACACATCCTTTTTTTTTTTTTTTTTAGAAGTTTCAGAGTATTAAATTGATGTGGCGCCAACAAAAACAGAGTTGAACATTTGACTTAGGGCATTATTTTCTCAGTGAAAATATTCTTTATTTGAAGAGTGGTTCAGGCTGACTTTGAAGTCTAATGAGAGGAAAATGTGTGCGGGGATGAGGTGAATCAGGCCCTGAAGGTTGCCTGTACAAGGGATCTTCAAAATGTTCATAAAAATACATCTTACGGAAAAATTATGACTGGATTTAGATTTGTTGTTATTATCAGAGGATACCTGTACTTGCTAGAGAGACAGAGGAAGAGGAAAAGCAGCTTGCCTGGGGAATGGTCACATGGGAATCGCCTCTTCTCCATCTCTCCCGCATTTTGGGATTTGGGGCATGGATGCACACACACCTGGTATGTTTCTCAAGCAGCTGTATCTGGGACTTGAACTGTGCAGATGGCCATATGGCATCCAGTTGCCTTAACCACCAGATCACAGAGATGGCCAGGATTTCAATTGTTTGCACCACAACAAACTAATCCTTTCATTCGACAAACTTTTTGAAGTCCCCTTGTATCATTCAGCTCAAACCAAGAGCTATCCCACTGGCTTACTGGCCCCAGACCCCTAAGCCAAGACTTCTAGAATGTTCCCCAGTATGGTGGTCATGGAGGCAGCTTTTGTTTACCTTTCGGTAGGATGTTTTGAGACCCTACTGAGAAATAATGCTTATTTGTGTAACAAACTGTCAAGTCAAAATTGTGGATTTTCTGCTGCTTATTGAAATCTGAGCTAAAAGCAGAGCCTATGCTCCCTGGCACTTGGGTTTAATAACAGAAAACAAAGTAACCGCATAAACAGACCTTTTTATTGACTATAGGCCCCAACTTCTCTTTCCTTGAAACACGAGTCATTGGGGCATACAAACTTATACCATAAGTAGAAACCAGATACCTTTAGAATCAGAAGTATCTCCAACACTAATTGGATTAAAAATCATGAAGCATACTCATAGACTGGAGCATTCAAATCAAATTAGCCGCCATTTTATTTTTTAAAAATAAAGAATTAGTGCCTTGTGTATACATTATAATCACAAGTTAATGAGGGAGGTAGCATGACTGGAACCTCTCACATTACCGGAACTCAGATACCACAAAATGCCCTCTTCATTTTTCAAGCAAAAGCTGTACTAATATCTTAAAGTGCCACAGCTGAATTTTCCCTCACTTTGCAAATGAGAGAATGGAAGTCCCAAGAGGCTGTGATAGCCTCAGACCTTGCAGTAGTTTGACAGTAACTCTCACAGGTGAGATGCAGGTGTCCTCACCTGCAATGCTCTGTCTTCTCTAGTTGATCCCCTGTTGCTTCCCTTAGATGAAGGGAGATATGGTTATTCCAAGTAGGAGCGAAACCATTGAGCATCCTGATCCCTGGTTTTGGTTAAACCATAGCTCTGTGACCATCCTGGGTTCATAAAAGGGTTTGATCCAGGTAACCTATTTGCTGGGACCTCTCCCTTCCTGGGAGCTCTGTTTTTCCTTCTCTCTCCTTCAGTAAACTCCCTGCTTTGCTATGGAAAAAAATATGATCCACCTTAATTTGTTGTTAGAAATAATCTACTGATAAAGGAGGTGAAAGGTTTTTACCGGAGTGTTATGGAAATGGCGACCCCAATCAACCACAATAGTCGGTTCTTGATGTAAAATACAAGAGGCTTTATTGCTAGCGCGCTAGGACTCCACTCCCAGTCATACAAGACATGGCTAAGAGTGAAGTCCCGAACATAGGAGTATTCAGGTTATATAGACATGAGTCTGTGGGATGAGGGGAGGAAGCAAGATAAGAGGTTACAAGGTAATCTTATGACGACCATTTGGTCAGGCTTGCAGGAGCATTTGATCTGGGTTTCTGGGGCTAGCAGAAGGGAGGGATTTTACACTACAAAGGTCTGGGCTAGCTTGCCAGACTAGTTTGCAAATGGCTCGGGCTCCCTGCAATGTGTTAACAAATTACCCCAGGTTTCCACAACTTCAGCAGCATCTGCTTTAGTACAGAAACAAAAGAGGCAAAGGTTAGACTTTATCTTTGTAAGACAGGCTAATCTAATTTTATTCTTACAGAGGGAAGAGCAAACATACAAACAGGGACTTATATGTGTCTGGTTAAAACATGGGGAGAGGGACCAGCAGGTGATGTAATTGTTAAGGCATCAGATTCCCACATGACCAACTGCAGTTCAAGTCCCAGACCTGGTGGTTTGAAAAAGATGCTGGACATGTGTGCACGTGTGCCCAATATTCTGAGGGAAGAATGGAGAAGGGATTGTTAGAAACAGATTGCACATTGTGGTTGAAAAGGAGTGATATGGGGACATATGAGTTGATATATTAAAATGTCCCAAATCTCCCAAGCCTCTGGAATTCACCAGGCCTAAACAAAGTACATTACTCTTATCTTTAAAGGTTGATGCCTGTCTTTTCATGAAAATGATGAAGTTCTGCTTTGGAAGACAATGCATGACAACTTGCTTCCCTACCCCTTGCAAATCTACTCCCAGTTCTCCTCTTGGCCACCAGATCAGCAACTGGGGTTGGTTGTGGTGCAGTGGTAACATGGCTGGACTCATGTGGGAGAGGTCATGGGTTTGCATCCTGGAGTCTCTCTATGCACGCCGGGTGTGTGTGCATGTGCATGTTATCCTACTCAGCTGAGACTGTGGGTGGACTGTGGCATAGGGACCATGTTGGGAGTGCTCATCTGTCTTCTATCTCTTTTTCTCTCTCACAAAGGAAATGAATAAATTTAAAAAGAAGAAAAAGAAAGAAGTAGGGTCAAGTCATAACGATCTGGCCAGAGAAGTGTGATCCTACCAATGGAGAACAGGGACTGTAGCCCAAAGGAGCTGTGGGACTCAGCCAATACATACATGCCAGTGGGATCCAGAAAGGTATGATGAGAATGAATGGAGAGGGGGCTGGACAAAGTGAGATGAAATGCAAAGTTGGATGGGGAAAATTCACTGCTAGGGAAGAACTTTCTTTTGGTACATTTAACAAATCCTGGCAGGAACCGTGTGAGTTTGAGCTTGTATCCAGGAAGTTTAGAAAATGTGATGCAAAGTGAAGATGCAAGATTTGCCATGGGAGATGAAGGCAGGAGAGATCAAAAGGCTCAGAAAAATAGGCAAGGTAGAGTGGATAGACTATGTAAGGCCAGAAAACCTGGCAGGCTTTGTTTTCCACAAGAGTGTCTGGAAGATCACAGCATTTGTCAAAGCAAAAAGAATGCCCTGGTGAGAAGGCAAGTGTCACAAAGAAGTCCAGTGGTGGCTGTTCTCTGAAGGTCAAGGATATTGGAGAAGATTTTAATACAAAACCGGGATCCCTGCTAGCAATGGAGGCAACAGAGACTAGGAGGTGGCACTGACTGTTAGATACAAGGTAATTCTAATTTTAATAATGACCAGTAAGGTGAGAGTGGCAGCTCGGGGAATCCGATCTACAGAACTATAAAAATGGTTACAAGAAATTTTCATTCCCAGGGGAAATACAGACAGGCAGCCAACAGGGTATTCTTCAACAGATGCAATTGAAATAGATCAAGAATATGTAATTAGCTGAGGGCACAGACTGAAGGAAAGGCTAGTTCCCCAGGCTGTCCCACAAAAGCACCTGTGGCCATTTACTTAAGCAATTGTTCTCTGGGGAAAGAGAATGCTCCAACATTTTGAAGATATTGCATGCAGGTCATTGCTGACATTGAACCTGGAGACCTGAAACATTATTGTGTGATCCATTAAGGGGATAAATATAAAGGCCCAGATACTAAAATCCTGGCCCAGGTACAGGTCAGAGGGAGTTCTGAATTGTCTTCTGTGTATGTGTGCCAGGCTAGCAAAGGAAGATCAGGTGAAAGCAATCACAGGCTCTAAACTTAGGACAGCAAACCTCAGCAGGTGCAGACAAAAGGCAGGATTAAATGTTATGTGGACAAGATAGCAGTTAATAGCATAAACTTTGAAACCAGACACAACTGCATTCAAATCCCACTTTTGCCACTCATTAATGGATTCCTGGCTAGCTAACTTCTCTGTGCCTCCACTCCTTGATTTGTACCATGAGGATATTACTAACCCCCCCAGAGAGATTTTTTTTCTTTTTTTTGGAGAGGTTTTTGCTATAGGGTGCGTGCGCTCGCCAGACAGAGAGATAGAAAGCGAGAAATCCTCCCCTCCAGGGGGGATGGCCATGCTGCAATCCCTTCTCCTCCATTCTCCTCTTGGGATCTTGGGCATGCATGCACACGTGCTCGGCGAGTTTTAAGCCACCGGGTCCAGGACTCGAACCGCGGTCAACTACTTGGGAGTCCAGCGACATACCATTACCCTAACTGCTGGTCCCAGAGAGATATTTTAATAGTTAAAAGGATGGTAAATCTCAGCACAGTGTTGGACACTCCAGATAGTGTGGCCTTTATGACCATAATCACTATGAAAAGGGTTTGAAAGGTCCCAATAATATATTCTGACCACATACTCTTAGGCACACCGTTTGGACAGTGGCTGCAGAATCCTGTGCTGTTGTATGCAGTGTTGTGTGGAAGAACCTTCACAAATGAGACAGAAGCTCAATAGGAGACAAATATGAAAATATCACAAGAACCTTTGGGATATGTCATCTGGAGTCACGACAGATGGCAAAGATGGCAAAACATCTGCTTTGGTTTTGTTCAAAGCAAAGAGCTCAAGAAAAGTTGGGATCAGATTCTACAGAACTCTTCCATTTCTTTTTTGAGCCTATGTTATTGCCTCAGAATGATCTTGATAATAAAATGGAAAGAATGAAACAGGAGACGCATTAACTCAATAGTCAGAACAGACTGAAAATAGAAGCAGGCCTCAGGGGTATCTGGTTAATTTTGAGGATGATTGATTTCGGAATGCTTCAGTTATTCAGAACCCAGCTGTCTAGCAACCTGTGTATGTGGAATGTTTTAGAAAATTTGGAAGCCAGTTCACAAAACAGCTCAGGAGTCAAAGAGAAATATCAAAGTATACTCACAAGATGCGGGGAGGAAATAAGAAAGATCCTCTCTGTGACCACTTGGCCAAGGATAATTCATTCCTACTTTCCCTATATCCATGTGATCTGCTTCCCCATCCTCAGAGTATGTTCAAAACTGAAAACTCAAAGAGCACGGGGACCTCAAAGAGGCAGACCCAGCAGTCTTGTCAAGATGTGTAGACAGCGAAAGCAAAGGAGGCAAGAGGAAATCAGCACAGAGCAGACATCAGAGATCAAAGGAAACAGCAGACCCATGGCTGACCTAGGCAGCCTGGGTTCCAGGAGACCCTTTCTAAGCCAAAGCTCTGAAATATTTACTGTACAGCTGACAGCTCAGCCTTTCCCACAGGAAATAAATGGAAAGTAATTTTGGCCATCCACCACTGGTTTCAAAAAGACCCGAGCAGGGCCTATGCACCTGCTTCACTAAGATAAAATTTTGTATGATTGCAACAAATAGAACAATAATGCATGTAAAGTTTCTATGAGAAAATTTTGACTGAAAGTAGTAGCAGCTGTTTCTAATATTGCAACAAAACTTTAGAGGGGAACTTGTCCTTTTCATTATCCTCCATTGGGGTTTTGGACTTACAACTGGACATCATCGCCTCTGTGGCAGCCCAACTGGTGGCTCCCATAGATATCCAGGCCCAAATCCCTGAAACATGAGTGTTACCTTACATGGCAAAAGGGGCTTTGCAGATGTGATTAAGGTAATGCTCTTGAGATGAGTTGACAGGGTTGTTAAGATGGGGAGTTTGTCCTGGATTATCTGGATGGGACCCAAGTGTAGTTACAAGTGTCCTTACAAGACATTTATAAGAGACATTTCTGAATCTTAAGAGGGAGAGAGAATGATCTGACGACAGAAGAGGAATAGCTGACATGACCACCGAACAGTGGGAGATGGAGTGAGAATGGAAGATGCAGTGCTACTAGTTTTGAAGACACAGGAAGGACCATGTGTCAAGGAATACAGGTGGCAGTCAGAAGCTGAAAAAGGCAAGCAACCAATTCTCCCATGGATTCTCCTGAAATAACCAAACATTGGTGGAGTGGAAAGAGGTGTCTAGTGCTGGTGAGTTATAGAAAAAAACTAGTTCATGACACATGCAGATGCTAATAACCATGTGAGTAGCAAAGGGCTAAAACCAGTGTTTCAGATGATGTGCAAAATAGTATATCAAATATAATATCATTTTGTATAGAGACAAAGAGGCAATAGAGAATCTCTGTGGCCTTTACATCTTTTGGTGGTCCAATTTTCTACTTCATTTGTTTTCTTCTGCCTTTTTATTTAATGGCATGATTATTATTTAGTTAATCTACAATATAGTTTCCTTTTTTTTTTCTTTTCTTTTCTTTCTTTGAGATTTTTGGTATAGGGTATGTGCATTCGCTGGATAGACAGAAACAGAAAGTGAGAAATCACCTCCCGGGGGGATGGTCACACCACAATCCTTTCTCCTCCATTCTCTTCTTGGGATTTTGGGCATGCACGCACATGTACCCAATGTGAGTTTTAAGCTGTTGGGTCCAAGACTTGAACTGTAGTCAACTATGTGGGAGTCCAGCGATGTAACCTTTATGCCATCTGCTGGTCCCTGATTCACATTATTATTATTTTTTTTTGGAGAGGTTTTCACTATAGGGCGCGTGCGCTCGCCAGACAGACAGAGAGAGACCTAGAGACAGAAAGAGAGAAATCACCCCCTCAGGGGGGGTTGGTCACGCCGCAATCCCTTCTCCTCCATTCTCCTCTCGGGATCTTAGGCACGCATGCACACGTGCCCGGTGTGAGTTTTAAGCCATCGGGTCCAGGATGCGAACTGCAGTTGACTACGTGGGAGTCCAGCAACATAGCCATTACGCTAACTGCTGGTTCCCCTGATTCACATTTTTTAAAAAGTTTTTGCCATCAGGTGCATGCACTCACCCGAGAAAGAGAGAGAGAAAGTGAGACATCAACTCCCAGGAGGAGATGGCCATATGCAATCCCTTCTCCATTCTCTCAAGATTTTTGGCATGCATGCACACATGTCCAGGGTGACTTTTCAAGTTCCTTGGTCTGGGGCTTGAACCATTGTCAACTATGTTGGAATCTAGCTTTTTAACTACCAGGCTGCCCACTCACCCTCCATTTACATTTTTAAGTGTACAATTCATTAGTTTTTAATATGTTCATGAAATTATGCAACCATTCCCATTATCTAATTTCAGAACATTTTCATCACCCTAAAAAAAAGAGGTTGTTTCCATTAGCAGTCCTTCTTCATTCCCCCACAGCTGTCAGCCCTAGGCAACTCTCCATCTTTCTAGATCTATAAATTTGTCTATTCTAAATATTTTATATAAAGAGAATTAAACAACATGTAGCTTTTTGTCACTGACCTTATTCAGTTAGTATAATGGTTTCAAAGTTTATCCACATTTATCAGTATTAATACTTCAATCCTTTTTAAGGGTGAATAATATCCCATTGTATGAATATACCATGTTTATTTATCCATTCATCAGTTGATGAATATTTGGTCATTCCATTTTGTTTGGCTATTATTTATAATGCTGATATGAACAGTCACATATAATTTTTTTATGGATGTGCATTTTTAGTTATCCGAGGCATATGTCTAGATGTGGAATTGCTGGCTCATATAATAATACTATATTTTAATTTTTTGAGAAACTGCTAGATTATATTTCCAAAGTCATTGTAATATATTCCATTATCACCAGTGATCTGTGAATATTATAATTTCTTCACACTCTTGTGGACACGTTATTGTCTGCCTTTTTGAAAGTAGCCATCTTAAAGGGTATGAAGTAGTATCTCAATGTGGCTTTGACTTTCATTTATCTAATGAATAATGGTACCGAAGCATCCTTTTATGTGACTATTCTAATTTGCCTATCCTCTTTGGAGAAATAGCTATTCGGCTTTCTTTCACCCAATTTTTAAGTTGGCTTGTTGTTAATTTTTGTAAGAATGTTTTGAGTTATAATATTTCTTTATATGTTCTGGATATAAATTCCTTATCAAGGAATGACTGGTGGAGACCAACAGTTGGTGTAATGGCTATGCCACTGGACTCCCATATTATATAGTCAGCCGCGGTTCGAGTCCCAGACCTGGTGACGTAAACTCATGCCAGACGCGTGTGCGTGCGTGCCCGAGATCCTGAGAAGAGAATGGAGGAGAAGGGATTGCAGCATGGCCATCACCCCTGGGGGGTTATTTCTTGCTTTCTGTCTCTCTGTCTCTCTCTGTCTTTCTGGCGAGCGCATGCGCCCTATAGCAAAAAAAAAATCTCTCCAAAGGGGGAAATAAAAAGGAATGACTGGCGAATATTTTCTTCCATTCTATGTGTTGATTTTTTTAACTTTTTATAAAGGAATTATTTTATTTAACTTTACTTATTTATTTATTTTAACTTGACCAGAAAGGGACAGAGAGAGAGAAAAAGAAAAGAGCTGCCATGTCCAGTACTTGAACTGCAGTCGGCCATGTGGGAGTTCAGTGCCCTTAAACACCATGTCACCTACCGGCCCCTCTTTTCACTTTCTTAGTAGCATCTTTTAATATACAATAATTTTTATGGGGTAGGGTTCCAACATCATATGTTTACATGTGAATATACAATTGTTTCAGTATCTCTTTTTCGAAAAGACAGTTTCAAACCATTGAATGTTTTTGGTATTTTTTTAAAAAAATCATTTGGCTATAGATGTATGGTTTATTTTTCAGCTCTCAGTTCTGTTCCATTGACCTACATGTCCATATTTATGTTAGTACCACATTGTCTTTTTTTATTTTTTGAGAGGTTTTTTTTTTTTTTGCTATAGGGCATGTGCGCTTGCCAGAAAGACAGAGAAAGACAGAAAGTGAGAAATCACCCCCCCACACACTAGGGGAGATGGCCACACCACAATCCCTTTTCCTCCACTCTCTTCTTCAGATCCTGGGCATGCATGCACACGCATCCGGTGTGAGTTTAAGCCACTGGATCCAGGACTTGAACCGTGGTCGACTACATGGGAGTC